TGCTCTGTCAGTGTGGGAGGACAGCATGAGCTCGGAGAACATTTCATCGCGAGTGCGTTTTTTTTTCTTTCTAAGCTTCACTAGCCTCTGGGAAGGAGAAGATCCTGTGATCATTGAAACACATGCAGCTGGTGGAGAAAAAAAAGGGACAGCAGTATTTAAAAAGACACATTTTATAAAACAGTGGCTACACTCTTTCAGGGTAATCCTTGCTGTTAACATTACATACATAGCACATGTGCTTTCGTTACAAGGTCGCATTTTGCCTCCCCCCACCGCGTGGCTACCCCCTCAACCCTCCCCCCTCCCTGTGGCTAACAGCGGGGAACATTTCTGTTTAGCCACAGGCAAACAGCCCAGCAGGAATGGGCTCCTCTGAGTGTCCCCTGAAGAAAAGCACTCTATTTCAACCAGGTGACCATGAATTATATCTCACTCTCCTGAGAATAACACAGAGAGATAAAGAACGGATGTTGTTTGAATGCCAGCAAACATACACTGCAATGCTTTGTTCTACAATGATTCCCGAGTACGAGTTACTGGCCTGGAGTGGTAAAGTGTCCTACCATTAAAGACACAATAAGGCTGTCCTCCCCAGAAACCTTTTGCAAAGGCTTTAGGAGTACATCTAGGAGAACCGCGAATGCCAGGGCAAAGTAATCCTTTCACATGCTTGCTTTTAAACCATGTATAGTATTTTAAAAGGTACACTCACCAGAGGTCCCTTCTCTGCCTGCTGGGTCCAGGAAGCAGCCTTGGGTGGGTTTGAGGGGTACTGGCTCCAGGTCCAGGGTGAGAAACAGTTCCTGGCCTTTGGGAAAACCGGTTTCTCCGCTTGCTTGCTGTGAGCTATCTACAACCTCATCATCATCATCATCTTCTTCGTCCCCAAAACCTGCTTCCATATTGCCTCCATCTCCATTGAAGGAGTCAAACAACACGGCTGGGGTAGTGGTGGCTGAACCCCCTAAAATGGCATGCAGCTCATCATAGAAATGGCATGTTTGGGGCTCTGACCCGGAGCGGCCGTTCGCCTCTCTGGTTTTCTGGTAGGCTTGCCTCACTCAGCTCCTTCAGTTTCACGCGGCACTGCTTCGGGTCCCTGTTATGGCCTCTGTCCTTCATGCCCTGGGAGATTTTGACAGAGGTTTTGGCATTTCAAAAACTGGAACGGAGTTCTGATAGCACGGATTCCTCTCTCCAAACAGCGATCAGATCCCATACCTCCCGTTCGGTCCATGCTGGAGCTCTTTTGCAATTCTGGGACTCCATCATGGTCACCTGTGCTGATGAGCTCTGCATGGTCACCTGCAGCTTGCCACGCTGGCCAAACAGGAAATGAGATTTAAAAGTTCGCGGTTCTTTTCCTGTCTACCTGGCCAGTGCATCTGAGTTGAGAGTGCTGTCCAGAGCGGTCATAATGGAGCACTCTGGGATAGCTCCCGGAGGCCAATACGATCGAATTGAGTCCACAATACCCCAAATTCGAGCCAGCAACGTCGATTTAAGCGCTAATCAATTTAAGCGTGGAGTAAGGAAATTGATTTTAAGAGCGCTTTAAGTCGAAATAAAGGGCTTCATTGTGTGGACGGGTGCAGGTTTACATCGATTTAACGCTGCTAAATTCGACCTAAAGTCCTAGTGTAGACCAGGGCTTAGTGATTCCATCTGAAGGCTTTCTTCATAATTCCTGATATAGCTGCTTTGTTGGTTAAAGAGTGCTATCAAGGTATTAGGTTAGGGGGAATTAAGGACATCCAGCTCTGAACAGATGTATAATATTGCCTAAGGCCAAGTGACATGGACCAAATTGACAACTCTCTTCCATCTCTAGCTATTCTGGCGCAAAATGCCCGAGTGAACGGCTCTCTACTAGCACTACAAGACATGAGTGTGTGTTAAAGACTCCTCTCTCAGAGTGTGTTTTATTAGACTGGTACCTTTGTTTCTACTTGTGTAGCCTGTGTGCTGCTAGTATGTCCATTAGTAAGTGGCCTTGACACTGCCATGTTTGTGCACGTGGCCTCAGCCCAGGAAAGAAATATTTATTTATCAGTTTAAAAACATTCCCAGACCAGTTTTACCGCGGCTGTTACCTAAGTATGATTTTACCCCAGCTTGGGAAGACTGTCAGGATAGGAAGACAGAAGACTACCATACAGACACAGCCCATTTGCTTTTCCTCAGGTATTCTCAGTAGAACTCAGAGGCCCTCAACAAGGTAGGAGCCCCACTGTGTTAGACATTGCATGTATCCATAGTGAGAGAGCATCACTGGTCCCAAATAGCAATTCAAAGGGTAAGAAACAGGAAAGTATCCTCATCCCACTGAGGGACAGAGTGATGAAATTACTTGCCCAGCATCACAGGAACTCCCCCTTAACTGCACGATCATCCTTCCTCTCTAATCTAATACAAGACTTTATTTGAAACATATTGCAAAAAATCATCAAATAAGCTATTTGACGCACTCTTCTCATATACTTTCAGCCACCACAGGGTGTCTCTGCATCTCTTCCTAGAAAGACAAAAGCCTCTGATAGCCTGGCCCAGAGTAGCCAGGAATACCCCACCTTTGGAAAGACGGCATGGGGGGAGGTAATATCTTTTATTGGACCAACTTCTATCTATTAGTGAGAGAGAGAGAAGCTTTCGAGCTACACCAAGCTCTTCCACCTTGGAACACAGAGTTCCAACCCTTCCAGTGTATTTGACACAATTTATGTTTTAAAAGCTAACAAAAAACTATCACCCACTTCTCTGTGGATTTTCTTCAGCAACAGAGAACTATGTCTGGTTTGAGAATGCTGTTACAATAGGCTCTGCTTCTCAGAGGGCAGTGAGAATTTGTTTCCTTTAGTGGCTGAAGATGCTTGAAACCTGAAGATATTTTGACAGGGTAGCTGCTTATGGCTCATGAAACGAGGATGATCAGGTAACTGAAATCTAATCATGCCTCTCCCTTCATGTGAACTGCGCCATGCATCTCAGAGCAGAACTGAGTTCTCAATGTCCGTATTTACCAATGTCTATATACCAATGTCTTTGACGAAGCAATCAGTGTAGTAGCTTTGCCAGGATCCTGGAGGTAAGTATTGCGCCACACACCTTAGCAGATCTGTTCGAATGTCCTTAATATAGGTTTAAAGTAGTGTTTATCTGCAGTGAAATGAAGCCAAAGGGCAAGCAAGTGATTTAGCAATTACCTGATACAGTCACCTCTGGACTTAATACCCACCTGCTGCTCCTGTGATCATTTTAGCTTGGGACTCTTATGGGTGGTTGTTTTCTCTTTTTAAGGAACATGCTTTGTAATATATAATATTAAGAAAATGGGTTAATTGCTTTGGATTAAAACATGAACCATTCTGGACCTATGTCCAAACTCCAATGCAAACCTGAGCCTGCTTGAAGCTTTTAGATTTGGAAAAGGTTGACTAGCTTTTTTTCTGAATTGCTTTTCATTTTCTCTACATCCTGGTCTTCAAGTCAGTGCCCGGCGGGGATTTAAATACTGGGGCGTGGGGAAAAAGAGGCTGTGACTGTTGGGTCCATTGCTATATGGATCCCCTGGCTGCAATACATGTGTAACATTTGGGCTAGGAGGATTTCATCCCCTCAGCTTCCTGGTAGGTCCCATGTACAAAGCACTGCTATGACAGCAGGATTTGGCACTTAGGATCTAAGAAAATATCAGATGACCCCAAAGCTGGGCTTTTTCATAGCACTCTATTTCCCTTCGATTGGGTTCTGGTGTGTTTTATGCTCCCCAATCTATTTCTTTAGCTAACTATTATGGGGCATATATTGTTCCACTCACCAGGAAACAGTGTGGGGTTACAAACTGGCAGGGTTTAGCAGAATATGTGGGTAGATGGATGGGTGAAGACCTCTACCTCTGCTCACTAATTTGACGTGAAAATGAGCCTTCGTGAGGTCCTGCATCTGAAACGCTTTCTTTGGAACTCACCACTGCCACCAGACTAACAAGATGCTTCTCCATACTACCAGCCCATCCATCTCTGAGGTCTAGATTCTCAAATACTCCATAGTTTGTGCTGTTTAAAACTTTCCCTTGTCCAGGCATAGATCTGTTCTGAGCCAGCTCCCACAAGAGTGAGTGGAAAGACTGGCTACATGGAGTGTTGGATAACACACCAACTAAAACAAAAATTCATGTCATGGGGAGACTGTGCTGGATTTACATTGGTTAAATGATCTCTCTGCACTGTTTCATCCCTTTATCTGATTGCAGAGTGACCTGGATTTAAATGTTTTGTTGTGTTTTCTCTTCCAGAATGGATTTCACTTGCATGGTCAGGAGGACAACCAAAGAGAGAAGCACTGACAAAGAGGAAAACACATTGGATTCAAGAAGGATTTTGGACTCCTCACAGTAGGGGGAGCAAAAAGAAGAAGGCATAAGAAATTGCACATGTGTGGAGGTAAGCAGACATTCTTCCCTGTATTTTGGCAGGCGCTGCGAGTCCTCTGCAGTCTGGCTTCATTGCTGCACCTGATCAGAAAAAAAATTGGTCCATCTAGTCTGGCATCCTGTCTCCAGTCAGGGCCAATCTTGGATGGTTCAGAGGCAAATGCAATATTGTATTGGGGGAATTTTCTTCCTGGCCTAGCTGATATTTATGCATGCTCTCCCTCTCTTAATCCAGCAGTGTTCACTTGCCAATTGGATTTTACACTCATAATTTAACTACAGACATAGAACAGTAGTGCTTCCATTGTTTAAGGAAAAAGATATAAAGGATTCTTTAAAAAAAATTCAAAGATGGAAATACTTTTAATTTCCATGCACTACACAGCTGAGAATAAATGCCCTATTATTAGATCTAGAGGAGTCAGGATGCAGACAGCTGGGGGGGGGGTTCCATTTATATTAGTCACTCTAGGACTTTATTCTGCCCTGAATTACAGAGGGTGTGCATCTGTGGATTTCCTCTACTTCCTACTGTGTGATGTGAGGTGCAGGCATGCTCAGTAGCTTATGCCTACCACTCCTATCTCAGTAACAGTGCCTACAATACTAAGAGACTGGTTGCATCAGAAGCAGAGCTGGAAAGCCATCTTTGCTAGCTGCTGAGAGTGAGAGAAACAGCTGAACCTTAGGAGATCCACAGACTGTCTGACAGAAAACAATGTGAGTATCCCTTGTCATAGGAGTTTAATGAAAACGAGCTGCAGTCTGAGAATGAAGGTTTAGTATGTCTGGAGGGAAGGAGTTTGGCTAAAGCAGCGTCAAAGCACTGTCCATCAGGTGTGGTGCTGAAACTCTGAATACTCAGCTGTGAATGGGCGTGTTTCTTACTTCACAAAGAAATGATAGCAGCATGGCTTTAAACTGACTGAGATCCCTTTTGAAGCAAGGCTGGGCTCTGGGATTGTGTATTGTGATTTGTCACAGATTCAGTTTCATATCTGTGAATATCTGTTTACAATTATATTCCCCTAAATGCTCGCTCTAGGGAAGCGCAATACTGTGGCTGGAAAGTTCACTGCTGTTTCTGATATATGAAAAGTTGCTTGTTTGGGTTTTGGAGAAATGGCCAAGTAGTATGCTGTTGTTTTCAAAACCAAGTACAAATTAACTCTTACTATGAATGTATCTTTTTATGTTTAATTTTATGTGGTGTGTGGGTGCGGTGGAAGGCTGGCTATGTGAATAAGGCATCTGAAGCTACTTTAACATTGCTGTGGCTGGCTGTCACATGAAAACTACATGGCATCTGTGTGAATCAGTGTCAGACTCTGAGGAGCATTTGCTGGGTGTGAGACCTCTTTTGTGTATTTTAGAGATCCAAAGTTTGTGTAAGACACTGTCAAAGTCTAATCAGTCTGCTGTGGCTCTTAAATGATGGGAACCCTGCTATGGCTGGCTGTGCAGTTTTTCCAGTTGTTGGACAGCAGTGAAGAGAATTACTAACATGTTTCCAATTCAAAATAGTGCAGACACCAACCAGTCAAAATGCTGGGTGAAATCCTCAGTTAGTGTAAATCAGCACAGTTCTGTACATCACAGTGGAACAATGCTGATTTATACCAGCTGAGGATCTGGACCTTTGTCCTCACTATCTGGTGCAATATGATAATATATTAGATATAAAATAATTTCAACTCACTTGTATTCAGCATCCATCTGTTTCTGTGCAGCAGTAGATGACACTAATCCATCACTTCAGATTATTTTATTACACCTTTAAATAGCTGTCCATGTCTTTAGCTGTGGTTTAAATGACAGCATTAATTTGCTCTTTAAGACAACAGTAAAACCTATGTAGTTAATAGTTACTTTGGAAAAACATTGGTGTAAATGAGAATCTGACCCGTGTAGTTTAGATAACTAGATTCTGAAATGCATCCAACAATCTACATGGGGAAAAGAAATGTGATGATAGAGGGCATTTCAAACAAGAAGACAAAGGTATAACAAGATCCAGTGGCTGGACGTTGAAGCTGAACAGGTTTAGCCTTGAAATAAGGAGCAAATTTTTAACAATGATGGTAATTTACTGTTGGAACAGCTTACCTAGGGTTGTGGTGGATTCTCCATCACCAGCAATTTTTGAATCAAGATTGGATGTTTTTCTAAAGGATCTGCTCTTATTCAAACAGGGATTAATTCAGGGAAGTTCTATGACTTGTATTCTACAGAGGGTCAGACCAAATTATCACAATTGTCCTATCTTGCCTTATAATCTATTAATCTATTAACATGATTGCATAAATGTTCATTTATGACCAGTCAGTGCAAACCAGCTGCAAACACCTCAGAAGTCTAAAAAAGTCAAATAATTCTAATCCTATATAACATAAGCAGGGGGGGAAACATAGGGCCAGATCCTGAGATGGATCCTACTGTTATAGAAGTGAATGGAGCTATGCTGATTATTGTAAATAAAAAGTTGTGTCCTATTGTAAACTATTTCAATACCAATTTTTTTTAAAAATTACATCTAGAATCTCATTCTGAGATCTAGAATTCTTTTTCATTTGCTTATTCACCTATTAAAATATCAGAAAACAAGCTTTTGTCTACAACATCCAGAATGTCTCCAAGCCAAGGAATTGCTTTCTGAAAAATGCCTTGGCTTAATGTGCACCCCTGAACTTCTCCAAATGGTTCGGCGTTTGCCAGCTCATTGTGTGCTATTGGTGCTGTTGCCTCGTTGTGTCTAGATCAGGAGTCAGGGGATGATGTCAGATACTTTGATCTGTATGTGAGCTGTTCTTCGATGATTAATGCAACAGTTTCCTGCTGCAGAATGATCATCTAAACTATTCAAACAAGAAACAGTTTTTCATACTATCTTTGGCTTACTAGTGTGTATTCATAACACATTTTTTAATTAAAACCAGAAAGGTTGATTCAATATTAGTATGCCTGGGTCTTTTGTAGAAAAGCTTGCATAAGTTTCTTTGTTGATCTAGGGAAAAACGGAAACTTTTTTTTTTTTTTTTGGTTTTTGGTGGGATAATCTTTCAACACACTAATCGTACAAAGCCAGGATAAATAAGCAACTTGCTATTATGCAGATATTGATGTATTCAGTTGATTTCTGTTTCTCTATTAAATGGATGTACAGAAAAGGAATTTAAAACTCCTTGATGAATGTCACCACTATCCAACTTTGAGTTGTTGATGAATGCCACAAGGTAAAAGAGTGCTAACTAACAACCTATAGCGACAACTAATGGTGTTCATCAACTTGCAACAGTTTACTGCTAGTGAACACCAAATCAGGAAATGATTTCTTTTCATCTTGTTGTAGAGCACCATAAACATCCATAGCACTTCAGACACTTGTAAGAAGACAAAGAGATGGCTCCTGAGGGCTTGTCTTCACGTACAGCTTTAGTGAAGATGCTACTATGCTGATGGGAGAGCTGCTCCCATTGGTGTCGTTAATCCACCTCCCCAAGGGGGTAGCTCTGTCGATGGGAGAAGTTTTCCTAGCAACATAGCGATGGCTACACAGCGGGTTAGTTTAGTTATAACTACTGTGGATTTTTCACACCCTTGAGCAATGTAGTTAGACTGATATATGTCTAGTGTACAACTGGGTTCAGTGACTTCAGTAGAGCTATGCTGACTTACACCAGCTGGGAATCTGACCTTATGTGAGATTACTGTCTGAGTGGTACAATACAAATGATAAAGAAGCAGGCTCAAAAGTGGGAGCAAACCTTATTGAGGAGAGGGTCAGTACTGAGAAGTTAAATGAAAGAAGCGGGTTTGAAAGGAGGGATTTGAAGGAAGAGTAGGACTCGCTTCTTGCTTGAGAAGAGGGGGATACTGTTCCAAGCATAAGGGTAAGAAGTGAACTGAGAGTCGGGGGGGGGGGTTGAGTGTTACCTCTTGGGGGTTGTTTCAAGTAGAAGGAGAAAATGATGATGGCATCAGGTATATCTTTGATGCAACCCTGTTTATATACAAAGAATGAACAAACAGGAGGCAGTTTGTTTGCTCACAGTTCCAAGCCTCTCTCCAATGAACACCCTGGCCAAAAAGCTCTCTCACAGTGTGACATTGCTGATGGGCTCATGGGTGAGGAGCTTGAAAAATTGCTGTACATTTCTCTGTTTTACTGTGGCAATTGGGAGAACAGCTTTGTTATGAGGGTTCTATAGACTATTCTATATGTACGTGAATAAATTATACCCAGAGGTGGTATTTTGAAGTGGACACCGAGAGAGAGACTGTTCTTTTTATGGTTGGACTGAGGAGAAACTGAGTCAGATGCCTGTGTGGTGCCATGGCCTGCTGCAGGGGGGCATCCCAGTCTGGCTGCCTTCTTATGCTCTCTCTCTTAGCTTTCTCTCAGGTTCATGTTACAAGGGCTTCTCTTGCTGTTTCCTGGGCTTTTTCACTCATCTGGCTGTTTCTGACTCAAACATGCACATACAGCAGCAATAACAATCAGTCCCAAGACCCTGTGTTTGTGTTCAGTCAAGTCCTTTGGTGGTGGCTTCCAGCTATCACTAACCAAAAGGGCATTTAATTGCACACTCATTTAGCCTGAATGGAAGGCAGACAGCATGCCCAACAATTTCACTGAGCTTTGTGATCACCCATAGATCAAAGCCAAGCTTGCTAGATATCTGTCACCCAACCTCCAGGAGAGAGCACTGGGTAAGAGAAAATGCAGGTGGACAGGGCCGGCCCACAACATTTTGGCACCTGAGGTGGGGAGCTCAAATGACGCCCCCATACCCTTCGCTTGGGCCAAAACTTTGACAGGTCTCAATTCTGCCTTCTTCCTGTTCTACTCCTCTCATGGTACTGCTCTGCTACCTACCCCAATAAAGGAGAACTAACAACTTAAAATGCCTTGTTCAAAAATTTTAAGTAACACTTAACTTTCAAACACCTGAACAGCAAATGTAACTTTTCTTGTCTGCATAGTAAACACTGGCATTTTTATCTGTTTGAATAATCAACCTTCTTGGTTGCAAAGATTTGAGCTGTTTCCTGCTGAAGGTCCACAGTCTGGGCAAGCTTATGCTCTATTGAGATGATTGCAAGGCCAACCAGCCTGTCCTGTGTCATTGGGGAGCAAAGATGTGTTTTTATTAACTTCAGCTTGGAGAAGCTGCGTTCTCCGCTGGCAACTGTTACAGGAAGTGTTGGAAGTATGTGCAGAGAAACAAAAGCATTTGGAAAGAGGGTGGTCATCTTATTTGTGCACAGATATTACAGAACACCCTTTGGAGTTGATCCAGCTGAAACGTATCTTGAAAGGGCTTTCAGTTCATCACCTAAATCACTCGCATCAATATTGCGCATGTCATCATGTGTCACCCTGTGGTGACTGCAAGCTCTGGGGCCATTTGAAGAGCTGTATTATTTGAATGGGCTTAACTCCATCTGGCTTAGGAGCAGCTCCCTTTTCTATCTGCTCTTTTATCCAGGCAGTGGAGCCACTGAATGAACAGATTTGAAGAAGTGGATGTTGTAAAGCAGGTGGGTTCTGTAAAATATCACGTAACTTAATGGAACCGTGAAGAAGGGCTACCCCAGGGCTTGTGGAACTAGTACTGAGATGGAGAGACAGCACATCCAGAAAGAGGAACAAGGTGGTGACCGCCCCCTCTTCCGCCAATGATTTTTGAATTACTGTAGAAGCAAATGTATGTTATCCC